GATATTGATACAGAATTTATCAAAAAGGTTTTTGAAAATTTCGGCCATAAAATTGTCATGATAGTCAATATGATTTGCTACAATATTAGAATTTCGAATAACTTTAGGAATATTATCCCAGGCATTAGCATTTGCTTGTTTTCTTCCTCTTGATGAAGGTGATTTAATTAATGAATCCCATATTAAAAGAGAATTAGGAACAATTTCACCATAAAGCATATTAGTATTGTCATTATGCATTATAATTATTGCTCCAAAAATAATGATTAAAGGGCCACACCCTGATAAGTATACAACTCTGTGACTCGGCATCCAAGTTTGATTTGTGATATGATGCAAATGACAATTTGATTCATTTAAAAAAACTTCTGATCAAGTTGGAACTTTATTTTTTTCTTATAGGTTTTTGAATCGATATTGTAAATAATGGCTACGAAAGGTAATATTCACTGATAACTCATGCAGTATATTTCTGCATTTACCATATCTATAATAATATCCTAACATATGAAGTATATAAAACAACTACCACTTTGAAAGTTTGTGACTATTTTCTACAAGTTTTTTTTGTAATATATATGTTAAAAGTGGATATTGGAAGTGTTGACAGATATAATAAAACTTCAAATAAGTTTGGGAATACTGTGATCAAGGTAATTTTTTGGCCGGTCCAATTTTTTTCAAGCTGGAATTTCATTATTTTTTTTATTATTTTGTTTAACAACCACCCATTCTACTGTGGCCTCCCCAATATCAAGGACTGTAGCGACCTGCTTGTGTAGTGTAAGAGTTTGACGTTGGTTCTGGCATTGTTAAATATCAAAAAAATATTGATGAGTATTAAAAATCATTCGTCATTTATTGTCAGTTAAGAGAGTTCGATCCTTATTCAAATCATCCATGCAAAAAAAAAAGTCACCTAAATTTTTAAAAAACTTATAATTTGAAAGTTTCTTTACCTTTTATGTCATATGTATGCACGTACGACTTATTTAACGAGTTTTATATTAGTCAGAAAAATCGGGCAATGATTTTTGTGTATCTACATTTTTGCATCAGACCATATATTATATTGTATAAACTATTCTATTGTCTTGAATACATATTTTAAACAAATGTTTTTAGATATAACTTTTGTTGCCTATTTAACTTTAGCTAAATTATTTATTTTAAAAATTTTTTACAATTGCCTATGCAATGATAGCTAGTGGTCTGAATTTAAAATGTCATTCAGAAATTGTCTATCTCAACGTGCCCAGGAACTTTACTTGTGCGGATCAGATATATATTTGGAAAATTACGCGTCTTGATTCAGTCTTCTCGAATTTTATTGGATAATTACATGTCTTGGTTTCATCACATACAAAATGTGATTGAGTGCACGTAACTTGGTTTCTCACTCTTGAACGAAAACACTAATATTCTTATTTAAAAGAAGTTGGTATATTATGGTTTGAAGATTCTAACGAAGAGATTAGTAAATATGATTTGGTTGCAATGAACAATATTTGAACTTGCAAAATAATGAAACAGACAACATAAAAGTTAATTCATTTGATACAATAAACAATAAAACTTGGTGTTTCAATTGACTATGTTTATATTATGATGATGTAATTTTTTTCTTGTGAAATTGTCAATTTAAAAGCAAAATATAATTCTTTATTTGAATGATTTCGGCATCGTTAATTGCATAGATTACTCAAATACTGAAAATAAAAATTCAATTGACTTCATGTTGTATTCATGGATCTAATACATAGATTATGAATGTTATGGCATAGAAATCATAAAGGTGAAATAAAAAATTCACCGGGATGATCACGTAGTTTTTTTTTTTTTTGCGAATGCATCAACTGTAATACTAAGTTTGGCATTAATCGGATTAATTTTTGTGCGATTCGTATTTGACCCTGTTTATAAGCAAATGGGCAATATTGAGCAAATTTGGTAAAAAGAAGCTCTTTACAATCTACCATACCCCAAAAATGCAGTTGCAGTTTGTTGAAAAAAGAATTGCAAATATCAAAAATGAATATATAGAGGTATGTTCACGAAGAATTGAGCCCACAATGCGGATGCTAAAATTTCCTGGTGAACATTTTCACTGGGCATAGATTCCCCTCCAACTGCTACCGTCTGCTTCCATTCTTTCAAGCAATGCTTCCTTGTTTGAAATATAGAGCTCATTCATACGTTGCACGGGAACCGGTTCTAGCGGATCGGGTATGGGTTGTAAAATTGGGGGTTGAGTTGGGGTTACAGCGGCACTAACTACTGGGGTAGTTGGTACGTAACCAGTATAAGTCGCGGTTGGCGTCATTCCACCTAATGGGTTGTAAGGGCTCGGCGGCTGAGGACTATAACGAATCGTTTATTATTTTATTTTTTAAACAAATCCAGAAAGTCAATTTTTTATTTACCGATACGATCCAATGACAGTTTTGTCATTTTGCGATCTACCCCATGACAATCGAACTCGAGAGTTACCTAAGAGACAGGTAATGTTAAAAAATTGTAGAAAATAGCTAGAAACCAACATCACTAAACCACGAACCAATCGGATAGTGTTGCATTTGGTTAATTGCCATTTCGGCACTTTGTCGGTGAACAAATTGAACAAAGCCGCAGCCCTTTCCAGGCGGTATCTTAACATAGGTGATTTCACCAAACCCTTGAAAATAACTAAGCATATTTGCAATTAAGAATGTGTATGAAAAATTTTGGTAAATTACGAGCTAATAAAAAAAAAAAATACCTCCTAAGCTCCTCCTCACTGTTTACACCCGATAATCCCCCAACGAATACTGTGGTATTATTAGGGTCATTGTATTGATTTAAGACAGGATTCTGCTGAGTCGGCTGTTGGTAAAAGTTGCTCTGCAAGCCACTCTTATTTTTTGGTGTAGCAGTAGAAATTCGCATCGGTCGATTTCCACAAAAGGAACCTTGCATCTCCATAAGGGCACGTTGTTGCTCAGCCTCATCTCCAAAACGAACAAAGCCATACCCTAAAAAAAAATAGTTGCAAGATAAATTAAATCATGTATTGTTTAGGATTTTCTTCCATTGTGATCAAAGCTGATTTTACCACGAGACATTCCTGTCATCGGATCAGTCATGATTTTGGCAGATTTACAGGAGGGATATCTCTGCTGAAAAACTGACTGCACAAAGTAAACACAATAAGAACCAAATCAATCTGAATGACATAAACTTATTCAAATAATCTTACCACCAACATCCATTCCGTTACTTCGGGTCCTAAATCTCCAACGAAAATAGAAAATTCTGGACCACGGTCATCTCTGCTCCAAGTTTGAATACAAATAAGTTAAACCTAATGTTAGACAACAAATAAATCGCGAAACAAAACAAAACAAATAAAACTTCAGATGCTTACTTCCTGTCTGTCAACCCACCTCCCGAAGCCCAATTTAGTTTAAACACACGATTGGTACCGTGAATGGGTGTTCCGTTTACTGTACTTAATGCCTTAACTGCTGCCGCATTACTCACAAAATCTACAAAGCAATAACCAGCGTTCGCTCTATTTCAATTCAAGATCATATCTGTTAATTATTTACACGTACTTTAAAAATCACTTTGTTCGAAAAATACTTGGTATAAATACCCTGTAAATTTATCTCGAATGAACTTAACGTTGACATTTTCACCTAACTGATACCAAACAGTTCTTATGTAGTTCTCGTCCATCCAAGGTTCAAGTTCACCCATCCTGTAAAAAGATATGATTCAGCTGATCTTTGTCTTAAGAAATTGCTAAACAGTATGCTTACCACAAGGTCGTTTTGCTATCTGTTCCACTACCATATTGAGACTGTTGTTGAAACTGATCATACTGGAAGGCCATTTTTTCACTGGCGTGTTTATCGTAGCAAAAATACACGTCTCAGTTCTACGTTAAAATTTCTATATGAGATCGCGACTTTTTGGAAAATGAACAAAGTTCAAATAATTATGTAGTAAATTAATGTGATACGTTGATATACCAATACTCTGTCAACACGACCTTGTGATAAAAATGTCATTGAATTACGTATTGCGCCCCACATATCAAAACTTGAATATCTAGTATGGAAGTAATCATGTCGTAACATACACGTAAACAACAGGCAAGAATACGTTCATATCACGAAGATAGTTTAAATGTATTTCGATAGCATTTATATATGATACGAAAAATACATAATCTTTTCGATACATGCTTTATTTTTATATTATTAAGTTATATATATTTATATAATAATATATGTTTTTTTAATTTTAATTTTAATAAATATAAACTACCTACAGTCAAACTTGGATATAACGAAGCCTTCGGGCTGATTAGTAAAAATTGAAAAAAAAATGTTTAAAAATTTATTTTTAAAAATTTACATAATAAATTTCCCTTTTTATAACAGCTTTATTATAAATAGGTTCATTATATTCATGTTTAACTGTAATTCATATTTTATTTATATATATACTATATTATTTAATATTATTTAAAAAATTAAAAAAAATTTTAAAATATTATAAATTTATACTATATATAACTTTTATAATTAAATTTTTTTAAAATAATTTATAAATAATCTTTAAATAATCTTTAATAAATATAATGATTTTTTCTTATTTTCTATTTTAATAACAATTAAAATTAATTATAACAAGCAATTAATTATTGTATAGTATTAATAATAATATTTTTTCAATAAAATCCTAATTCTATTTTACAATTTTATTTAAAAACTACATTGTAGCATAGCTAATATATAAAATGAAAAATAAATAAATAAATAAAATCAAAACTCATATTTTTATTAATAATTTAATAATTAATTAAATAATTAAAATAAAAATAATATATATATATTTGAAAATATAAAGTAAATGCTTTAATAATTTTTTGTTGATTTTTTTTTGATATCTGAATTGTAAAAAATTATTATTTTGTAAAAATCATTTAATTTTGATTATGTTTTTTTTTTAATAAATAATTGTTTGAACTTTCAATTTCTGAAATTATGATAATTTCTTCTGTTATAATTTTAGCAAAATATATTGCAACTGTATCTGAATATAAAGGATATCTGTTTGTTAAATATGACAAAGTTTTTATAGTTTTTTATTTTTCCAAAATCTTCTACAATAATTACAAGTTGCTTAATAATAGCTATTAACTTTTCTTTTACTTTAATTTATATAATTCCAAACTATATTATTTGATCTTTTATCTTTATTTTATTTATTTGAAGAAAATAATATTTTTGTTAAAAAAAAAAAATTTTTTTTTAATTAAATAAAACTTTAAAATTAATTTGAAAATTTTTTTAATTTAACAATTATTAAAATTTATATATTATATCTATAATTTCAATTATCAATTAATTATATTTTTAATTATATTTTTAATTTTATCTATTAATATAATTTCAATTATAAAATTATAATTGATTAATAAATTAATTATATCCTAAATTTTTAAAAACATAATTATAAAAATTTAAATTATAAAATATATATATGAATTTTAGAATCTATTTTTACTTATAAGCAGGATTTAAGCTTTTTAATATAACAAATAGACATTGTCAAAACTTTTATTATTAAATTATGTAATTAAAAAATTATAGCTGCTATAAGTAGAAAAATTAATTAATATAAGCAAGTTGTATAATTTAATTATACTCAATTTATTTTTTTAAAAATTTTAAAAAAATTGAATTATTCAAGTTGTATTAATATACAAAAAATACAAAATATCTATTAGTTCACTAAGCTATATATTCATTAATTCTAATAGCAACTAGTTAATATGACTTTTTTTTTCTTTAAAGATAGATATTTTATATGATAAATATTTAACTTATATAAAAGAAACATTAAATTTCTCAATAACCTACTAGTATATCAATTAAATTATAAACTTATATGATATAAATTTAATATATATTTGGATCTTACTTTATATAAACTAATTAAACTTGATTTTTTAAAACTAATATTCCAACTTATTTTTTAGAATCTTTTTTATATATAATAAATACTAAAGTCAGATTTTGAATCTCCATATATAACAATCAAATAATATATATTAGAACTAGATATAACTACAATATTAATTGGTTATTTAATAAAAAAATTTATTATCTGCTTAATAGAAAATAAAAAAAATTTTAATACTATTATATAAAGTTATATTTTTATAAATCTATTATAGAAATAATTAAAAATATCTGCTTAATACTTTAAAAAAAATCCAAATATAAGGGGTGGCTGAAAAGTTTTGATCATATGATTATAACTCTCCATTTATTAACACGTACTCCAAAATTAAATAAATAGGATTCCAGATTGTGTCACGGTCTATAATAAAAAAAAAACTTGAATTAATTTACTTCGTCCATTTCGAGAGATTGTCATTTAAAGTTAGCCACCTAAAACAAATGACCATAGATTTATATAAGGCATATCGGCACTATATTTTTGTGGCTTAAAAAAATAATCAAAATGCAATTAAAATTCATACACAATTGGTTAATGCTTGGGGTCAGAGTGCACCATCGTTAGTTATAGTTTGGCACTGAATTCATAACTTTAAAGAGGGTAGGGAGGATCTCAATGACAATTCTCAATTGGGAAGGTCTCGTGAGGCTGTGACACCACAAAATGTGCTTAAAATTCAAAATGCGATTAATAAACAATCAAATACAACCACTCAACAATTAGCCAATCATATTGGTATTTCGAAAGAACGAGTACAATATATTTTTTATAAGGAGCTTGATCTTTGGAAGGTTATGGCCAAGTGGATTCCTCATTTTCTTACTGAAGAAAACAAACAACGGCGGATGGACTGCGCAAGAAAACTTTTGGTAATGCTTGATCAAAGATTTTTTAATGTAATAACAAAAGACGAAACTTGGATTAATTTATATAATATTCCAACTAAAGAAAATAATAAAATCTGAAGCCAAAAAAATAAAAGCAGATCTACAATTCTTCGAACTGGTCAAAACAGCAAGAAAAAATGTTTTGCATTTTTTTCTCTATGGATGGGATTATCGCACGAATTATAGTTCCAAAAGGTAAAACAGTAAATATGGATTTCTATTCTAAAAAGGTTTTACCAAAGGCCTTTAAAAATATTAAAAAAAAACAGACCTGTGGGTCTATAGCACAGTGGTTAGTGCTCCACAGGTCAGATCACAAGATACCGGTTCAACCCCAGGTGAAGGCGGTTGAACAGGATTAACATGGTATCTGGCACCGTAACCAATTATGTGCTGTTTCTCATGAGAAGTCATTCACATGCCGATCCGGTAAGACGTTGAGATTGTGATTTCCCGTTAAGGTGTCATGGCGTAATGATCGTCCGGTTGGTGCATGATGATTGTCGTGGAATTCCTTCATATGTAGGTTGTACAGGCCCCCTACGTATGTCGTATCCAATAGGCCAAACAACCCCCCCTGGCACGGCAAACTCCGTAGCACAAAGAACACTCTAGCCTAGGGCTATCCCAATCCGGTATTTAAAAGAAGAGGACCCAATGAGGAAATCCGAAGCCGCAGGTGGTAACAAGGAGTACAATACCTTCTCTAAGGAACTAGGCGAAAAGTATTTGGGATATCCGGGTGTTCTAACCATCCCTGTAAGGTATACAAGCCCTCCGCCCCGCTGGATTAGCAGGTTCTAGATGGTTTAAAACTGGTGGCAGGATTTCCATCCCCTGGACTAGTCCCACCCGATGTGTGGACCCATCTTCAAGGTGTAAGTTAGCATAATTGGGTTAAAGGTGGATATGTAAGCTATTACTAGAAATAGTCAATAGGCAGTGTTAATTCTATATAGAAGACATAAAAATGTATTTCAAATTGATGATGTTCATATGTAGAAAGACACTTAATGTTATATCTAGATATTAATTATCAATAAAGATTCGCATCAATGCACGTTCACCTTAAAAAAAAAAATAAAATAAAATAAATTAATATAAATAATTTAATTTATTAATTGTTTATATTTTTTTCAAATTTATTAAACTTTATTTTATTAAAAATTAAATAAATAATTCATTTAATAAAATTAATAGTTTTATTATAAAAATTAATTTGTATTATATCATATTATTTAATAAATTAATTAAATAGATTAAAAAAATTAAACTTGTCTTAAATACAATTATAAATTAATACTTTTATTTTAATTTACAAATTAAGCTAAAATAAATAAATCTTTTATATTTTATAAAAATATAATAGAATTAAAAAGTTCACTTTAAATTTATATATTTTATATTAATTAATTTTATTTTGAACTATTATTAATAATTTTAATAAATAATATTTAAAAATTCATAGTTTTATAAAAAGTTTTATATTATTTAATTAATAAATTTTAAATTTTAAAAAATACTATTAAACTTAATTTTTCTAAATATAAAAGTTTATTAAAAAATTATTTAAACTTATTAATAGTTATTTCTTGAATATTATATATATTGTTTAAGAATTAATATAATTTATTTGTTAAAAATTAATTTAATTTTAAAATCAATTTTATTTAATATATGAGCTTACTTATAAAGTATAAATTTATATAGCTAAGTTAGAAATAAATTAAGTTAGCTATTATTAATAATAATTAATAAACAGTATTAATTTTACTTATAGTATATTTTTTTTTTTTTTTTCCGTAATCAAACAAGTATTTATTGTGTTTATTTAATCTTTTAGAAGAAGATATAATCATACATATTTGACTTTTATGCATAAACTAATTACTTATACTTGAATACCCGTCTTAGGTGTTTAATCTCTAGATATGATCTTGGAGATGAATAGAGTTGCTCCCTCTTGTTTCCC